CTGTGTATATTTTGGGGTTAGTAATGGAATTTCGTTTGTATCAACAGCGCCTTAGGGACTGGCTAGATTTCCGATCATCCGTCAAATAGGACTGTCTGGAACTCTAGAAGCTAGATTGGACACTGTCTAGAGGCTAGGTTGGTCACTTTGGAGAACCTGGAAAAACTCTGGTGCCTGATAGAAAGAAACCCCGATTTTAAGGGTAGGTGGATTTAAGTAGATTATAGAAGTCACTATCTATTGTAGGCATCAACTGTTACAATATTGATTAAACCTTGTATCTGGAAAATTGTGCCCTACGAAGTGGTTCAGAGAATTAAATCATATAGGTAGCTGATTGAAGTAACTAAAATCACAACAGGCTGTCTAATTGATCTTTGAACATGAGTCCCAGATAAATTTCAGCTAAGTTAATTGATCAAACTAATTCATGAGACATTCTATCAGTCGATCTGTACATCTCAAAGTTAGTTGGTTCCTCTGCTCGTGGTCTCCTCTTGAATTCCAGTGTGATGGAACTTGACAACTCATTCTGTGGCATCATAATGTGAAAATACCTTCCTACCTGGTTAGTTTAGTGTATCAGTATATCAGATACTCCTAGAATATTTTGCATGTTGTCAAGCAACCATGGTCTAGTACTTCGAATGCAATGGTACACTATATTATACTAGGAAGTAATGTAACTTAACTTCTGTATTCGAATCTAATTCCATAAAAGTGTAGTGAGTTCTACTTTTGAATTAGAGATCAAGTCTGATTTTGGGAGCCAACTAACCTTTGATAATGCAGGTAAAAATCAGGATGTTAGCTATAATTTGACAAGGCTGTAAAGCCAGGGTTATTAGGTGTTGTTATACTTTTGGGGCAAATGATCAAAAAGTGTCTTATTGGATGACTGCCTAGTCACTGGGGTGGGTGATGGAATCTTAGTCCAGGGGCGAGGGGCTGTTTCTTGGTTTTCTTTTTTTTTTTACTTTTCCTGGGGGATTTTGAAAATAGGGAATTGTGTCAAGGTACTGACATTTTTCTTCCCCAGGGTTTTAGTTGCGGGTTTGGTTCTGGGACCAAGATTTCCTCGGGTTCGTCAACCCCAAGTACTCGGTGAGGACTATACAGGGTGGCCCAATCGTAGTCTACATAAGGTGTCCCATGTGAAGCCCCTACCAGGTGGATCACGTGGACTCTATACAGGGTGAACCAGTTAGAGCCTATACAGGGTGGCCCGGACTAGGGCTATACAGGGTGGTCCTGATTCTGCAGTCGCCGAGGGATTTTTGGTGATGTTGACTTTATGTTGGAAGTGTTGTTGAATTTATTTGTGCTCTCCCCATTCTACTGACCTCTCCCTTATGAATTTGCTCAACCGGGATATTTGATTATTATGTTTATGATATTTAAATGATTTGTACCTGTTCTGCGAAACGATAAGCTACCATTAGGGTTTATGAATATCTGCGCATGCGCCTGAGCTCAAGCGACGCATTCACCCCGCACCCTACTTGAATTTTTCTTTTCTCCTGAACGCTTCGTGGAATGGTTCAGTAAATTCATTTTGACTTAGCCATTGATCGTTTATTATGGTTGAAGGTCATAAGGGTGACCGCATCCCCTCTGTATAGGGTCATTATTTTGTGAGTTTCATTAAATGGGGAATTCTTAAGGAACTGTCTTGCATTTATTTTCATTTGTTGGCCCATACAACCTTAGATTTGATAGACTACCACTTGGTAATTTGTGGTAGTCTGTAACGTGCACATTGGGTGTTAGTGGAGGTAATTGAATTACCTGGCGCCCATTTATCGAACCCTTCCATCTCCACTGAAACGCTAGCCGAAGACCTTGGACCCTCGGGTTAATTTCAAGGTTACACAGTTAGTTCTGTATTCGCATATTATAGTCAACACAATCATTTCTGAACTCGAGAAAATATTCTTGAATTTTCATATTAAACTGGCATTTTTAACTCAATAAATCCTCAAATTTCTTTCTGAAAACGGTCATTTGCCTCGTGATAATGAATGCAGAATTCATTCCAATGATCAAATTGCAACTCTTATATTCACATGTACTACAAACACACAAAAATTCGAACAACAGGATATTGACAACACTCACTGTCTCATTTTTTAGGTAATGGAAATTCTTCGAGAGAAATATAGGTAATTATAACAAACGGCATGTCTATCAGAATAAAAAACCTTCTCACCAATTTTTTTTCGATCAATCTAACGATAACTTTATGTTTTTCCATAATAAAATCGAATGGGATGCGACGAAGGGCTCAGTTGACGACTGGCATCATCTTCTCACCGATAGCACTTGAAAAAACAGCAAAATCGGCTCAATAATGATCTAAAACTGAAATTGAAATACGCGGTCGCCTTATAGCGCCATGAGCGCTTGTCGTTTTGAGCCGCTGTGAGGCCTCACTAAGGTGACGTCACCACGGAGTCTGCAGGCCTTGTTGTATCGGGGTGACGGGGGTAACGGCATGAGCCGTACATCTTCAAGTTCAATGAACCTACTCGAATATTCCATTCAACAAAACCATTATTCGATGACCCTTCTATTCATGGATAGAAAGAAGACTGGCCATAAATATCATTTCTGGAAAATGTTTTATCCATGCGGATGAAATTACATAGTTGAAAATATCACAAAGGTAACGTAGTTTCACTTTATTTATTTCGAAGAATGATCAACTCTTGAAAAATCATTGATCGTATAACGACATATATAGTTGGTTTGATTGAAAATGACCTTTTCCGTCGACCTCGTATTAACGACTAAGTTTAATGTATATGAAATCGTTTATTAATGACCCCTATTAATGAACGATTTGTCTATTAATACACGATTGTTTTATAGGCAACCAAACATACACCGCGTACATTCATTGTATATGCTATAAACTTACGGAATCTGCATTCAAATCGAAAATATGGATTTCATCGACGATTTTCCGTTAACGGGTTCGCCTTTCCAAGTTTCTGACACGATATTAATCCCTGTTTTGTAACACAAGGAATTTATTTCCTATGTTGATCATTTCGACAAATGTCAAATGTGTCTATGTCAGTAACAAGGCTATACTGGGTGATTCTTAGCAGTTTCCGGATGGATGATGATTTGGCGAACCAAGTTTTCTTCATTGCAGGAGAAATGAGAAATATAGTCGACGGAAAAATTTTGTAACCAACTTGAATATTAAAAGGCGATTAATGATCTCGAACATTAACGCACTCGCTTCGCTCGCACGTTAAAATATCTCGATCATTAATCGCCCTCATTAATACACTAGTTGGTTAAATAACTATTTTTACCACTACAAAATTTTTTTATCCATGACTTATGGGGCATGCACCCTGTATATACTTTTGCTCAGGTGATGGACTTATCCGTTTCTCAATCTCTTTCCATATAGATTCTGGATATGGAAATCGCCAGTAATTACTTACTGATGATGATGCAATCTATTGTCTATGGGAAACTCAAATGTGTGAATTTTGAAATACTGGCCTCTTGCAGGGGAAATGACGTTCTCCATACGGGATCATTTCTTGAGCCGCTGATGTCTGACATGGGGGAAATACCAATTCAGGGCCATCAAAACCTCGTACCAAAATGTTTGCTGAATGAACAATTACGAGAACCATCACTGTCGTATCTCTCATCAACCAATGAATGCAGATCCTGACCTTAGTATTTGAAAGCTGGAAAAATGTACTATCTAGTTTCGTACGTAATGGATGAGCTTGTGATATATGAACTGTCGTCATTGCGGCTTAGTCTTTATCAGTACCTTTGCTATCAGTATTTTATTAACAAATATCCTGATCTTAAAATTTTCCTCGAATTCATGAAAATTATAAGTGAACGAAGGTGACAATAGATCGTAAATACCAATATTGAGTTTTCCCGACTCTCATCGATTCATGGATATTTTCATTGATATCAAAGTATTCCAAATCATTTTGAATGTATACGTGCTCTGACAAGGTCACAGGATCATTCATAGTGAACTGAACTCTAACCGCTTCTCTTGACACGAAACATGTTACAATTTCTACAATTATGCAAGATCATTTCTCTCATTTTTTTTTATCGCTTGGAGCACACGAAAGGGAATCCCTATAATGTTTGAAGAACATCATGCGTTCCTAGGGAGGATAGGGACAGGAGGTAGGTATTGGAATTTTTTTTGAACTTTTGGAGATTATATGTTGTTGGTAATACTTCCACAGGCAATGAATACCAGAGCCTAGCCGTGAGATCTTTCTTTCACATTCGATATATATATATATATATCGATATGTTTCTGTCTCGATGTTTATAATACTGTATTTAAAATCATTTATTCTGAATATCATTGACTGGGAATGAACACTGTTTTATTTGGAACATGTTTCTAGAATTATGAGGGTGTCAATTTCTGGAATTTGAACCTGATGAAACATAATTTGAAGAATAGTATTAATCGTACGGGGTATGTTGTCCGAGCGGTCTGAAGCACTCATCATATTCGCTTAGGACCCGTTGACGATGCCAAGGTACTATCGGTAGAAGGCTGAATATCTTAAAAAAAGGTGTGATCCACTATAAGCTGTAGGCTCTGCTATTCCTATAACCTTGCACAAGTTTCGACTTCCAGGGAGTCGGTCGAGGAGTCGGTTGAAAACTTAGCAGGAAAAAACACGTTCGCTGCGTATGTTGAAACAATTGAGTTTGTTTTCAGTAGGAAATATTATATTCGTGTCAAGTCTGAACAATCGAATGTAAACCATCCGTGAAACAAGATAAAAGTTTCAGAACTCAAATTATCAAATTAACTCAGTATAAATATCGAGTTATCATGAATAATCCTTCAATATATCAAATGAAAGATCTGGCATTCCATAAAATATTTTAGAATTGAATTTTTCAGAAGATAGCTTCATTTATCTATATCACAACAATCATTCTCAACACAAATTTCACAAATTTTCTTCAGCACTTACCAATAATCGTCAAGTTGACTCGAGTCATTCTCGTAGGGGACTTTAGGAAATCAACTCTGCAATGAAACATCTGCTCATCGCCAAGTCTTGTCGGCGAAATACTCATGGCCGCTCTGTTATCGTCCAGAATTCTCAGAAAAAACCTGTTCTGCAGGGATGAGTCAGCCCAACGCACGGGCTGACTTCCGCGTAAGTCGTACTTGTAAATCGGTGATTCGTCCACGCCTTTGTACCACAAAACGACACTGATTTTATCAGGAGTTACAACGGGAGTGAGGTTACAAGGTAGGGAGGCGGTACCGCCGTCCGAGGCCTCCATGAATTCGGTAGCAGGTTCGGCCTCACCAGTCACTAGGAGGGCCAGCACTAGCACCAGGAAGACCGACGTCGACATGATCGCACTACATGACGTATTCCACAGACTCATATATGTTAATGTGCTTGGAAGTGCTCAATAAGAGTAGTACTCCGCGTTTCGTGCACCTGAAACAATAAAATTCAATGTCACTCGTGATATGTTTGTGAGAATGTACAGTATAATTTGTCCCAAAATGTCACTGCCTTCAATATATGTTTCTATCAAGAAACCTAAAAGAAAAATTTGATAGCATGTCAGTGACACTTTGTTGGAAAAAAAGTATGAAGAGAAGAAATATAGATATATTGAGAAAATGTCGAACTCTTATTCAGCTTTGTATGTTTCAGCGAATCTGCTTCCGTTCTCAACATAATGATGCTAAATATTTTTCTTCAAAGATTCTGTCCTTTGTGATGATGTGAGTATACAAATGAGTTACAGGATGTTTCCATATATCAATCTTGAATCCACCATTCACATGTTCAGTTTCCAGTAGTGAATACCATGTTCTATCTATATCATCTGAACAGGAAGCAGTGCTATTGCCTCGGTTCAGAAGAATGCAAGCGGATGCCCTGATTTTTCTCTTCTGATTGTTATCTTCCTTTCCTATGGTCTCAATATCATCACACTCTGCTATATGAACATATCCTTACTGAGAATTGACAACATATGGCAGAGTGAAATAATATCTTCCAAACGAAGACAATAGCATTGCTACCTGTTTAGTTGATATAGATAGAACATATTCACTACTGAAAACTAAACATGTTAATGGTAGATACAAGATAAATTAATGAAAGCATCGTGTAACTTGTTTGTATACAAACATCATCACTCATCCATATGCCAACATCAGTATGACACTGAGAATTATCGAACTAGAACAGAATTTTCGAACAAGAATATTTTACATTTTTGTGTTGAGCACGGGAGTAGATTCGTTTCCGAAACGTCCAAAGATGAGTGAAAATTCGATATTTTTTCAATATATCTATATTTCTTTCTTCCAAACTTCTTCCCGAACAGAGTGTCACTGACAAGCAATTGTGTTTTTTTTTAGGCTCCCTGATAGGAAAATGTTGTTGGAAGCAGTGACATTTTGAGAAAAATCATCTGATTTGTTTTACTACACATATATTGGAATGATACTTATATTTTCATTTTGTAGAAACGAGGAGAGAAAATCACAGATAATCATGTTGAATGAATGTAACACTTCCTCAATTATTAACCTTCTGACAGTATAAAATACCAACTTTATTCACGCAAAATATCAATAGGGCAATTGGTACTTGTTCTAACTATTATTCTTGACTAACTTCATTTCAATGAAGGGGATGGAAATATAGTAGGTTACATGGAACCCGTAGTATATATGTAACACTGTCAGATTGAATGGAACACAATAAACTCACTTTATTTATACACAATATCAAAAAATGAGTTGATAGTAACTCATCCAACCTCATACGAGAAACTCGATAGACCTTCTCAGTATTTATTTATTACCACTTGATTTGGCTCAAGTAATATTATTAGGTCGATTAGAATATGATTGAAATTCTCAGAATGATGAATTATAAGTCTATATTTGCTCAATCTCCCAGTTATGTATAAATTCATTCAGCTGAAGTAGGTAGAAATGAGTATATTTTTTCACAAGGTACTCATCAACTTATGAAATATAATGGAAGACTTCGCCCTTGGTGGCCAATCAAAATTCTCTTTCATTGCAGAAGCAATATTATGAGCGCTTTATAACACAAATAGTTTAATTTTGGTGAAAATGGATTGAAGTAGTCTATTAAGCTCCTAATGGAAGTTATTCAGAGGGGAAATTACTCTTTAGAACTTCACATATGATTGGTCGAAAATCATGTAGGTGCATCTGCGTTACATCAATACTTTCGATACTGGTACGAGTAGAAATAATAGAAAATGGGATATCAATCACCATACAACCAAATCAGTGAGTTCTAATCATTTTCGAACTTTGAATAATAATCAAGTAAATAATATGAGAAACGACCAAACCTATGATGAACTAGATGTGAGAGTTCCAAAGATATCTGGCCTGACAAAAACTCACAAAAGTCATAATTTCAATCAACATAATATTGTCATTATTCTTTCATGCATTCATATTGTCGTCCATTTATATTTCCCTACTACCGATAATATTTTGCTGTGATGAATATTATGATGTTCGAATTGGTCTTCTCATTTCAGCTACCTATGTATGTAACCGACTCCTTTGCACTCAAATTCGACTCATTCCAAACATACCAGTTGATTTGAAATTTGCCAGGTATACATAAATAGTTCGGGTGAAATTTTTGTTAGACACACAAACAGGATGGCGGCTGCAAAATGGCAGACGAGTTCTCAAATTTTCATCCGATTCTATTCAAAATTGCGGTATCAGTTGGTTTTCGGGGCCGGAGATTATGATGCTTTTCAATATCCTGGACAAGTTTTGCAATTATGATCCGAATCTATTCAAAATTTGTATCTGTGGGTTCTCTGGAACAGAGATTATAATTCTCTCGTCGATATTCCAAAATTCGAGATGACGGATTCAATATGGCAGAGGAGTTCAGTATTTATAATCAGATTCTATTAAAAATTTTCTATCTGAGGGTTTTCGAGGTCGGACATATTGATTCTGTCGTCAAATTTGGTAGATTGAAGATGGCGAAACCAATATGACAGACGATTTTTGTGATTATGATTCTTATCTATTCAAAATTCGTGAGTGGAAGTTTAAGGAATATAAGATTATGATTCGACTGTCAAAGTTAGAGAATTCGGGAAGGTGATTCCATTAGGTATGGCAAACGAGTTTTATAATTATGATCTGATCATACTCAACATTTGTATGGCTATCGACGGTGGAGATTATAATTCCTGCGTCGAAATTAGGAAATTCGAATCCAATATTGTGGAAGATTTTTGTGATTATATGATCTGATTTTATTCAAAATTGGTCAGGTTAGGTTCCAACGAGGTCGAATATAATGATTCATTAGTCAAAATTGTCAAATTCAATATGGAGGATACAATATGGCGGACAAATTTTGTAATCATAATCCGATTCTATCAGAAACAATTATCTGGGGATCATCAGGGTGAGATAATATTATGATCCTTTCGTCAGAGTGGGGTACTCACAAAAAATATTAGAACACCAATAATAACGCTTCCGAAGATAGCCAAACTGAAATCAAAAAAATAAAAAACTAGAGCGACACGATTCCATAGGAAGCTGAACTGTAGAGGAGTAGAAGATTTGATGATGGGAGTATGTTGATGTACTGATTATACGGATATGCTTCCCAGGTAGCACAGGTTAGTGGAATGACGTCATAATGACGTCTTTTTTAGGTCATCATTGGTCAATGACGTCCTCGACTTCAGAGGGACCTAAAAATGACGTCATATTTCATGACGTCTTATTGACGTTCAATATTGGACGTCTCAATGACGTCCCTACAATGTCGTATATTCGACCAAATAAGAAAAATCAGTCGCTTCCTTACTTTTTCATCGTTTGTTAATTGTACGTACTAAATTTGTGTTTGTATATACAGTGTTTTCGTGAGTACTGATGAACAAATTTATTTTCAGTCAAATTATGCATTTTAGAGGAATCTGCTGAGAACGGTCGATTCTCGTTTTTAATTTGCCATATATTTATGAGAAAAATTGAATATACATACATGGTGATCCACGTTTGAGTTATGACCATAACAATTTTGTTAAATAGAGCACCTTATATATATTACTCAATCTTTGGAATAACCATGGGAAGCGGAATTCGAAAATGTTCAACACAAATATGTGTATTGTATAGGTAAGTGCGTCCAATAAATTAGATGCTCTCGTGAAGAAATATCTATCTATGTATCTTATATATTTCTGAGAAAACAGGAGAAGCTTTTATTTCTAATTCGACATTAATACGGAGGAATCATCAAATATACAGGATGATACACGTTTGTATTATGACCCACTGTGCAAGAACTCATACTATTAACGTTATTTCATTGTAACCAAGATACGTTGTAACGTTGTGAATTTGGTGCTATTGACATCTCAAAGATTATCTTAGAGTCGTTATATGTCCACCAACAGTACAATATCGCAGGACGTCGCAAGAACGTTGAGTAAGAGTCGAAACTGATACATGTCATGAAACAGCTTTGTTACAGTGAAAGTACATTCTCAAATAGTATTTGCGATAACGCTTTTACGTTCCATGTCTTCATTTCGGAATGTAAAAAGTACATATCCCTGGACGATTTCATAACATTCCTGTTTCATTATTGTTGAATCTCTTGTAACATTACTAGGATCTTTCGAAATATACAGGGTGATACTCCAAAAATGTCCACACTTGTAACTTGGTTATTTCTAGACCAATATTCGTGAATTCTGAAAACTAATACTGGTATAATCACATCAGCAAGATTTTATCACACTGGGTTTTTCATAATATGTGGGACGCGTCCACTCATTTCTCCCACTACAGAGAACGATAAATAGGTATAATGAAGCAAACTTGGTTCAATCATCTCGAATTTATCGAAAGAAATAAAAAATGGTTGGTATTTTTAACAACTTGGAAACAAAAGAGTTCTGGTCAATTCTTTGAAGGAGCATTTATTATTGTTTTGAGCTGCCCTATCACATCTTGATGTGCTTCCCATATATTTTGAAACATCCAGTATACATTTTCTGGCTAAAAAATATACCAAATAGTTTTTGAATTCTGCGATCGGTCCAGAAACGACCAAATTTACAAGAGGGAACATTCATGTTGGATCACCCTGATATTTACTAGTCAGCTCCATTGCTAAATACCTACTTATCAGAGGAAAAAAATAAATTCAGAAACGTATTCAATCAATGTATGTAAGGTAGAAGTACAATTGGAAATAAATGGATATTAGATTGATTAATTATCCTTCCACGTATGTCACTTCAATTAGTTCAGTTTTATGATTCTATGGGCGAATATATTTCAAGGCTGA